TTGGTTACCACAATTAGGGTAACCGGTTATACCCTCACAAAAATACCTAAAAATTCCTTTTAAAAGCAGTGTAATCGGTTACTCAAAATTTGATAACCGATTACACTATGCGCAAAAAGCACTTTTCTGAAACTTTTTAAAACAAAAATCACTTTCAAGCCAACCCAAAATCTCATTTTTCTCATTAATCAATTGTGCTATATTTTAATACGAAAAATCACTTTTCTACATTTCCAAACTCCAAATTCTTTTCACTAAAACTACTCATAACCTTATTCCGACTCTGACTCAAAACCAACATCAACAACACCACAACTACATCATACAATTCATCAATCACATGATTTCAATAACAACAATTACAACGATTCATCATACTAACAACAATCACAACATTAACATACCATACACAATTCATCAGGAATTTAATTAATCCACAAATACCAATTCATCAAAAACTCATGAATAGAGAAAGAAAACACAAACCCTACATGGCATAATCTACCAACCATTATCATGTTAATTCTTAGATAATTATAACCCCACCCTTAACATAGAGTTCTTGCAAAAAGATTCACGACAATGAAGATGTCGTTTGGTGTTTCTAATGCACCTGGTATGTTTATGAAGTATATGAATCAAATCTTTCACACTTACTTGGGTCGATTTGTAGTAGTTTTCATTGATAACATTCTGATCTATTCTAAATCAGAAGAGGAACATGTTGAGCATTTGCAAATTATGTTGCAAGTGTTGAAAGAGAATAAGCTTTATAAAAGCTGTCGAAGTGTGAATTCTGGTTGAAAGATGTGAGCTTTCTGGGTCATGTTATTTTAGGTGATGGTATTGCTGTGAATCCATCCAAAGTAGATGCAGTTCTACAATGGGAGGTTTCTAAGTCGATTATAGATACTATAAGCTTCTAGGGCTTGGCTAGTTACTATCACAAGTTTATTGAAGGCTTTTCCAAGTTAGCACTTACGTTAACTCAGTTGACTTGCAAAGGTAAAACATTTGTGTGGGATATTTACTGTGAGAAGAGTTTTATTGAGCTGAATAAGAGATTGACTATGACTCCAGTCTTGATTTTGTCAGAACCAAATGAACCATTTGTAGTGTATTGTGATGCGTCCTTGATGGGTTTAGATGGTGTACTGATGCAAGATGGCAAGATTATGGCTTATGCTTCGTGACAATTGAGGGTTCATGAGAAAAATTATCCTACTCATGATAAAGAGTTGGTCGCAGTGGTTTTTGTGTTGAAGATTTGGAGGTATTATCTCTATGGTTCCAGATTTGAAGTGTATAGTAATCATAAGAGTTTGAAGTATCTATTTGGTAAGAAAGAGTTGAATATAAGGCAGAGAAGATGATTGGAATTTCTTAAAGACTATGACTTTGGCTTGAACTATCATCTTGGTAAAGATAATGACGGGCTGATGCTTTGAGTCGGAAGTTTTTACATATGTCTGCTATGTTGGTGAGAGAGTTGTAATTGATTGAGTAGTTCAGAGACTTAAGTTTGATTTGTGAGTTGACACCAAAGAGAGTCTATGTCTGATTTATATGAGTATGTTGAAGATTAACAATGATTTTCTTAATAACATTAAAGAGAGTCAAAAGTTGGATGTGAAGTTGGTGGACTTGATGGTTGGAAGTAATCAGGTCGAGGATGGTGACTTTAAAGTGGATGAGCAATGTGTGCTGAGGTTTCGTGACAGGATTTGTATTCTGGACGATTCTGAGTTGAAAAATATGATTATGGAAGAAATTCATAAAAGTAGTTTGAGTTTGGTGGTTTGGATTGAAGTGTGATGTGGCGCAGTTTGTGTATGCTTTTTTGACTTGTCAGAAGTAAAAAAGTTGAACATAAGAAACCTGCAGGGTTGATGCAACCGTTGGATATTTCATAGTGGAAATTGGATAGCATTTCTATGGATTTTGAGTTTGAAGTTGAGATTAAGTTCAGCTTATCATCCATAGGCAGATGGTCAGACAGAGAGGACTATTCAGTCTTTGGAAGATTTGTTGAGGGCTTGTGTTCTTGAACAAAGAGGTGATTGGGATAGTCATTTATTATTGATTGAGTTCACTTATAATAAAAGTTATCATTTCAGTATTGGAATAACGCCTTTTGAAGTTTTGTATGGTCGGAGGTGTATGTCACCTTTGTGTTGGCATGAATTCGGTGAGAGTGTGGTGCTTGGACCTGAGATTGTTCAACAAACTACTGAGAAGGTGAACCCGATTCAGGAGAAGATGAAAGCTTCGCAAAGTAGGCATAAGAGTTATCATGAGGTAGATCATGTATTCCTGAGAGTCACTCTGGTGACCGGTGTCGGACGTGCTTTGAAGTCGAGGAAGCTTACTCCTCGATTTATTGGTTTGTATCAGATATCAACAAGAGTTGGAGTTGTTGCTTATAGAGTGGCGTTGCCACCAAATTTGTCGAACTTGCATTATGTGTTCCATATTTCACAGCTTCGGAAGTATGTTTGCATGTGATTTTGATAGATGATGTTCAGGTAAGGGATAACCTTACAGTTAAGGCTTTTGCCTGTGAGGATTAAGACCGTGAGGTGAAGCAGCTGGAAGGCAAAGTGATTTCTCTCGTGAAGGTAGTGTGGGGAGGCGCTGCCGGTGGAAGTATGACTTGGGAATGTAATCGATTATCAGATTTTGAGTAACCAGTTACACTGCTTTTAAAAGGAATTTCTGGGTATTTTTGTGAGGGTGTAACCGGTTACCCTGATTGTGGTGACCGATTACACCATGAGGCAATAGCGAAGGGTGGCTAGTTACAAGGGGTGTAACCGGTTACCTCATCTTGAGTAACCGGTTACATTGAGACCATTTTTAAAAAATATTTGAAAATTCATAACTTTTGTTCTGAATGTTAGATTCGTGTGGCGTTCAAAGCGTCGGGAAGCTGACGTGACGAATTTTATTATAAAAATGGTTTATGTACCGGAAGTTGAATAATTTTGTTGTAATATGGTGCTAAGCGCATTATTTTCGTCATGTCGTGGTGTAACACAATTGTTCATGTCTTGTAGTTACTTGCTATGTTGTATGTCGATGTTGCTGGACTATATAGCTTATTTTGTTGTGGCTGTAGTGTCGTGATACATTGATTAAATGAAGGTCATTGTATGTTGTTGTTGTCATGCATTTCATGATTACATGAGTTGTGAGATAAGTCGCGTGTCTGTGTGGAGTGTGAGTGTCTTATCCGGATTCTAGTTGTAGAATCGTGTTTTTGTTGTTGTTGAGGTGATGGTGTGTCCATGTGGGGTGTGAGCGATCATGGAGGTCGTGTGGCCGTGTGGGGTGTGAGCGACCTAATGAAAATTCCGACGGGAATTATGATTCTAAAATAAGAATCGGATTCTGAAATAGGAATCAAATGATACCACATGTATTGAGTCAAGTTGTCAGTCTTAATGCATTGCATCTTAATTGTATTCTTTGTTGTGCTTAGATTTTGGTTGTGTTGGTTTTGTGGACGTATGTTATGGAATGAGTGTTTGTGTATGTGATAATCTAATGCTTGCTTATTGTCATATTTTCCTTTATATAATTATGATATTTCACCCCCTTCTGTTTGAATTTTGTCTTTACATGGGCATTGTGCAGATAACTCGCAGTAGAGAAGCCGATGTGAGTGGAAGATGAAGTTCTTCGTTTTATTTTTAGTGTCAACGTCTGCTCTGATATGTAATACCGGAATTATGGAACGTTATATTTTAATGGAGATTTTTGGATATCTTTAGAGTTGTAGTTACTTATATTTACTTTGAAAATATAGAATGTTTTGAATCATTATTTAATTTTGATGCTTTCGTTGTTTCAATAAAAGTTGATGTTTCAGACATATTTGATTGTTACACTTATTAAAAATAACTTTTAAAAGTTGTATATATTACATATCATGGTTTAAGAACGGTGTTTATTGTAGGTAGTATTCTAAATAACTTTTGTAATGAATTTTACTCTAATTTATATTTAAATTACGCAGGAATTATTTTGAATGTTACATTATGTATCAAAACTGTTTTATGAATCAAATAATTCTTTACATTCAAATTTTTTGCTATCATGAACAATTTTCATTTGCTCAGGTGAAGCATCTCCCGGAGCCCCCGTTGCACCATTTTCAATAAGACTCCAATACTCATTGGACAGTAGCAAGATTTTCATAAGTTCGGCTCGATTATCATAGAAATCATCAAACTTTATAATAGAAAGTGGTGCAAAATTTGAATTCACATCCATTGCAAGGAAACAAATGGACAAGAAAAAAAGAAAAAGTATCTTTATGAGTTCTCAAAGAACACAAACAAGACCAAGGAGAGCTGCACCCAAACAACTAACAAGAAAAACTACTTTGTGTGGAGAAACCTGTGCAGGCTTTTCATACAACGAGTATACAATACAATTAAGTTAATTAGTACTTCACAACCAAGTAGAAAGTGATATAAATGACGGTGTCGTATGTCAAAGAGGTATCTTGGATGGAGGAATTTTTGGTGTATAACTATTCATTCACACCACTCATCTCATTTTTGCATGCTTGCAAATGTCTTGTTTATAAATGTTGTGTTCTGTTATATAATTTTAAGTTTGTACTTTGTTTAACAAAGTCGGTAGCTTGTTTCTCCGTCAACAATTAAGATTGTGAATAGACATTAATATATGCCCCTAATGTCAGGTCCAAAACACAGCCTTCATATTGAATATTGACAAGCTTTACAACACAATGATACACTTATTTCTCAAACCAACCTTCAAAATCAGATGAAACACACTCTTAGGTAGAGACAGCTAAAACATCTACCAACAAATTATTCTCACACCCTTGATATTCGTGTAAATATCAAAAGGGAAAAATAAACATCATCCAAAATAAACAATCCTGTACTACACACAGCTACATACAAACTCTTGTATCATATTGTAATTGCTGTACAAAATATATAGCAGAGAATACACAAACAAAATCAGATGAACTCAAAGCGCATGAGAAGCTTTACATTGTTGTATTTAACTCCTTTGCGGGAATGTAATGGAACTGATCGAATTCCACTTCTTAGTTCCCACACAGGTAAACATGTTTGCCCACCAAAGTCATCCTTCTCAGACATGTCATACTCATGAACTTCTATGCGAAGCAGTGCCAACTCCGGAACCGAAAGTGGGAACTCGAATACCTCATTCCAAGAAGGCAACCAACTATCCTCTATTGTTTTAGTTTTTTTCATAATAGTATCAAAAGGGACTCCAGCAATCCCCACCTGCATAATAGTTTATCAGATAGAGTTCAAATGATAAAGCTTTAAAGGGAAGTTATCACAAACAGTTTATACCAGTAGATAAACTAAAATAAGCTAATCCAAACCGTGCTTATCTTACCCTTGCATAGAAGTCTGGAGGTGAGAATTGATCAAAGTGTGTATGCTCGAAATCATAATACCATCCTTCCCCCATATATATAGTCACCTGATTAAAAGTAAGAAAACCACGGGATTTGTTAGAATATAGTCTAGAGATACTTGAAAGAGGCAGATAGTGTACATAGCCTTGTAAAAGTCACACAAATCTCCATGCAGTAAAGGCCTCACCTTCAAAGTAGTTTTCAATGGCAAAGAAGCTTTAGGATCAAAAACCTCATTATTGGGACCAGTTTTTAATAGAAAATCTGGTTTTTTAACAAAACCACAGCCTCCATTGGCTTTGAACATTCCTTGCATCAACCAAAGAGATCTTCCATACCCCTGTCAAGGAAACCACCGATGGAAAAAACAGATTAGTAGAAATCTTTCATGATTTCAATATCATTAGTAAATGCCAAAAAGAAGATACCTGCATGTTAAATGCAACCATCTGAGCTCCGTGCATCCATCCAATTAATGGATTATAATTTGACGAGGTAATGCGAGTACCTTTCGGATACACTCTCAGTATATTCCTCTGAGTAAACCTGTCAGCAATCAGGAAATCAATATTTACAAATAAAGAACACATCCTGCAATGTGTTTTCCCATATCTTCATTACAAAGAGCTATAGACAGTTTAATATCATAATGCGGGAGCCCGAGCACAGGGAAATCGATTCTTTCTAAAAGATTAACTAGAATCATTTAACAATATATACCTGACAATTTCTTTTCCATATGTTTCAGCCGCCTTTTCGAGCTGTGACTCACTTAAACTTAGACGTCTCACTTTATTAGGATCCACTTTGAGACCTTCCACTAATCCACCTTTAGGTTTCCCAGCATGAATAGCAATTAAACGTCTATATTCATCGGATCCATTTTGACGTGACTTTTCTCCATCATCAGAATCTTCCTCCTCATTAAGATCATCGTCGTCGTCGTCGCCGCTGTTTTGCTAAAGATGGCAAGCAAGAAAATGAATCAATCAATCTACTCATAGCAATTTTTATACAACATTAAGTTAGTATCAGACCTTGTAATCTGATATGGTACCGCCTCTCAAACTAGGGACTTCTTTGCCCCAAGCTTCTTCATCACCTAAAGACTTTTCCTTCCTCGATTCCTCCTTTTCCTGTACTTCTTTTGCCTCAAGGTACTCTTTAGGTGGTTTTGTTGATATAATAATCCTCCTTTTGAGTGAATCAGGTGAAGGAAATTCCTTCAAGCTTTCCGAGCTAGGACAAAATAGTATGTCTCCAAATGTTTGAGTAACCATCTGTAATTTGAACAGGACTCGCCACCGTCAACATCGTTTAACAATAAAGCATATACTATCAAAACTGGTATCAGCTATCAGATATAAGAATGTAAGCATTCTGAATCCCAATAGAATTCCAAGTAACTAACCTGAGCCACTTTGGCTTGAAGTTCAGGAGTAAGGTGGTCTTCTAACGTTATTACAACCGGATATTCAGACGCGACGAACGCATACTCCTTAATAGACCTCAAACATTTGATAAGCGCCACAGGAGTAGTCAACGTCCTGGAAGATTGATTGCATCATTTTGTCACCATTAGTAAAATACATGGATGAATCTCCATCAAATCGCCAGACATATAATTCACAAACTTACCTTCCATGAAGAACTTCAATATCATTCTTAGATCCATTAGGCCATATATCTAATTCAATAACCCTTACCCCTCTCTGAAGCGCAACGATGATAGGGGCATCACTGCAGTCACTACTAAGCTGATTTCCAGTTAGATAAGAATTATGACCGGTGTGTATGTAATAATGAGACAACGGTAAAGTCATATCTAGATGCACCTGAAATAACACAAACACCATAATCAGACTAAAATAGTTCATAAAAATTACAAATCTACAATACGAATAATTCATTCATGATGATAATGAATATAAATTCAACTGAAATAGGTGAAAAAGAGAAGGATTACCCCGCGAGAAGGTAAGAGGGGAGGGTTATTATCACTGAAGAGAAACTTGAAGAAGCTTTCGAGATTGAGACCTCTTCGATGAAAGATACTCAAATGCTTATGACCATCGATGATTGATTGTGCTTCATTCTCTGTGATGTTCTCATCTCCCTGGACCTCGACGAGGAACCTTTGTAGGTGAGATGCAGTCATGATGGCGCTTTCATCGGAGTAATTGTGATAAAGTTCTCTTATCTGCGGCGGTGCTTCGGATATGCCGAGCTTAAACCGGCGCCGGCAGCAAAAACAAACGCTGTAAGTTTGTTTCTGTTTGGAAGCCATTGGTTAGATTGTTTGTTTCGCAGAGAAAACACAGTCTACATAAAGCGTGTGGGTGGTGTATTGGTGAGTGCGTGTGAGTTATGTGTATTGGGGATAATGTTTTTTGATCTAAGATGAAAGGGAATGGATACGTTTCTTGTATCGTTGGCAAAGGAAGAGTAAAGAAGTTCTTGTCGGTTGGGTCCCACGTTGTAACTTCCGTTCTATGAAAATAATGTTGGAGGGGGCACACGGCAACTTAGGAATGAATGTGGTAAGATGTCACATGAGTTGTTAATATTATTATTTTTTTGGAAAATATGAGTTGTTATTAGTTGAATAATTGGATTAGATATTTTAAAAATAAATAAATTATATATATATATATATATATATATATATATATATATATATATATATATATATATATATATATATATATATATATATATATATATATATATATATATATATATATATATATATATATATATATATATATATATATATATATATATATATATATATATATATATATATATATATATATATATATATATGGCACAAAGCATGCTTCCACATCCGTTAATATTATGATGGTTGAAAAATTGGAATTGATTTTAAGCTTGTACTAGTACAGTACATTGAGGAGTATGCTTTATTCCTTGGTATATTCCTCTTATTATAACAACCTCTATCATAATGAAGTGGCATTTATCCTTAGCTAATTTCTTTTTTCATTATGAAAAAATTGTATTTTTAATCATTGATATATTATTTTGAGTTTAATTGTTATTCAGTAATATGTTTTACACTTTTATTTAATAAAAATATATCATTCTGTCATATTATATAATTAAAATTTTTAATATATCTTGTCGAGATGCATAGTCGTCATTAGTTAACAATGTAAAATAAATTTACATAGTTAGTACATCATTTTTTTCTATTATTTTTTCATTATTTAATTAGATGATTGTGATCAATGATCGGTTATTTATTAATATTTTTTTATTAAATTTTAATTCTTAATGATTTAATATTTTTATATATTAAATAAAATATTTTTAACTAATCTAAATAATTAATTATTATTTTATATTCATTTTCTTCATTTTCAAATCTCCGTCTTGATATTTTTCATCTTTAAAATTTGGATTAAAAAAAAACAAATTTAAAAAGAAAAATTAATGTTGATGATAAATAGTGGAAGAAATTTTAAATTTTTAAAAGTAAAAATAAAAATAAAAAACTCATATTGAAAAAAATCTAAATCTAAAAAAATTTCATCTTTCATCATCCATTAATGTCTCCTCTCTTTTCTCTAAATGTCTTCTTTTTAAATATGAAGATTTTCTTCTTTTTAAGAAAAAGAAAACACAAAAAAGAAATTTAAAAAAAAGTTTGTATATAGAATCAATCTAAATATCAAAATAAAGGAAAGAGGTTTTCCTCGGTTCTTTGATTATTCACTCTTATCACTGCACCCAAGAGTTTGAGGACCGGTGGGCACTTCATTATGTTGTTGTACCAGATCATACGCTCATGACCCAATGTTCGGTTGATCATTTCTCTTTCATGAGGGACCAAGGTATTATTGTCGACTAGCTCTGAAGTAATAATCACCTTATTTGACCTTAGATTCCTCTTAGATTCCTCTTAGATTCTAATGCATTTTTGTCTACCTTTTACAGGTGTTCCCTCCAATCTAAAGGTGTCGACTACGGGCTCTCAAGGCACCAACACTGTAAGAGTTTCACACAATTTACCATTTTCTTTTATAAGGGGGTTTGTGAGTCTTTCTTCCTAAAAGCTCTCAAAGTATTATTGAAAACTCTCAAGATAAATTATTAGGGAGAAAAATAGGTCATTTTTTTTAGTGAAATTTTATAATTCTTGGTGTTCCTCATTTCCCTTAACTTTTTTTTTGCAATTTATTTTCGGCATTTTATTTTTCCGCTGCTAATTTTTTAAAATATTTTTTAAACTTTGTTTTTATCTCCCAGAGTTTTTCAAAACTACGTTAGTCTAAACCACACAATTCATCTCCCTCTTATGTGTGAAGTCTCAAGAACAACACAAAGTACCTCTTATCTGTAATGTTTTCCGATGGAGACCGGAAATCTGCAAGCTAATGTTACTTGAACTTTGGAGCCCTTACTTACCCAACCGGGAGTGTATGGATTCTCATGAGGTTTTGTGGGCAACTTCAAATAATCTACCAATTTCTACGACACCAGATTCTCCGTACTGCCATTATCCACGATCAGATTACACACTTTACTCTTGATAGAATAATGTGTTTTAAATAGATTCTTGTGTTGTTCTTCATCTTTGGATGCTAGTAAAATTCTCCACAACACAAAATTTACCCGTTCATCATATTCTTCCTCTGTAAACTCAGCCTCTGCATATTCATCATTCTCAACTGCAGATCCTTCTCTTTTCTTCTCCTTTTCTCTTTCTTCCACAATAGTAGTGATTTTCTTTTTTGGACAAACATTTGATATGCGATCTCTTCTATTACAATGATAACACGTGTCTTCAATGAGTTTAGTTTATGGATTATTCTGCCTATGGACTGGTGTTTTACCTTGCTGCATACCTCTAGAGCTGCTAGCCCCCTTACTTCCAGGGTTGAGATCCTTGTTTGTTGCACTCTTTTCCTTGTCACATGCTAATTGAAAGTTATTTTAGGGCAAATACCTTCTAAAATATGAGAAACTTCGAGGGAATTTCTCCATCAATTCTGCCTTTAAAGCTAGACTTGATGCCTTAGCCACGATTCATATAGTTTGTAAACCCATCTTCTCATGCAACGATCCATATAAGCCACTGATGTATCGAGCCACTTTCTTACTCTCTGATTCTCCCAATTTATTGCGCTCATAAAAATGCAGGAACTTAGTTGTGTATTCTGTCACAACTCCCTTGCCCTGAAAACACTTTATGTACATCTTATAAATAATCTGATCATAATCTTTTGGTAAAAACCACTCCAACATCAATTGTTTCATTCTTCTCCAAGTTCTGACAGACCTTTTCCTTTTCCTCAACCTTTGGACAACAAGTTTATCCTACCAGACAATAGTAGTACTCTTCAGCCAATAACAGTACTCTTCAGCCTGATCGTCACCATCTTAACTTGCTTGTTCTTAGAGACTCTCATTATATTTAAGAACATATCGATAGTCATGGTTATTTTGTCGATTCCCATTATCAACTACCTTTTTCTCGTAGGATTTTTTTCTTTAGAACTCGAATTTTTAGCAATAACAACACCTCTGTTTCCATCACCCCGTGGAACCCAAATTTGTTATCCTCCCTTATCTCTTCGTTAATTCTTGTTGTTAGTGGTGTTGTTCACCCAAGTTGTTAAAGGCACTGTCTGTTCGGTCAAATTAGTTTGGATCGTGGTAAAATTTGTGGTAATTCCCTCAAGGCCTGCTTTAGTCAATGGTCGATCTCCTATAGTTGATCAAGCTACAAAAATAAACATGACAATACCTGCTCTTATGCCACCTGACGCAATTGGAAACACTGCGAATTAGCAATCGCTAAACCTAGGATAAAAGCACAAGTTTGTAAGCGAAAAACCTATCAGATAAAACTCTAGAATCCATCGGATAATCCTGACAACCACTCCCAAGAGTGTTTAAATATATAAAAAAGAAACCTTGATGGGCTTAAAGAAATCCTAATGGAGTTTTAATCCAAAACAAAAATAAAATAGAAAATTGCGTAAAATATTAAAATGTTTTCTAACGTGCAACTTCTTCTTCAATACACATAGTAAGTCTTCATACATCAAAGATCATCTTGAATGTCTAAAATCTTGAAGATATCACTCTAAGAAAATTTCCAAATTCTTCCACACCAATTGAGCGTTATCGATCTAGAGTATAGATTGCATAATGTTTTTTGAAATGGATTGTTGAAGTAAAGATAGTACTATGTTGTTGTAACAAATCCATGGATCATAAAATGCATAATTGAATGATGGTTGAGAGAAAGTAACATTGATGAATCAAAGTTTGTTCTTGGAGGTAAAGTCAACATTCATGGTTTGCGCCCAAAAGTTGTAGTTGCTTGTCGAGAGACGGTGTAACGGGGTGATTTAGGGGTTTTCATTTGAATGGAGGTAGTAGGAATCTAAAAGATTTATGAAGAAGTCGAAGTAGAGATTTTCCTCCATTGATAAGAAGAAAGAAGAAAATGGAGGAATGGGTAATTTTTTGAAAAGAAATGAATAAAGGGGGTGAAAAGGAAATTAGGATTAGAAAGAAAAGAAAGAGAAAGAGAAAAAAGAAAAGAAAATAAAAGAAATCAAAGGATAAAAGAGAAAATGTCTAACCATTTTTTATATCATTCATTTAGAATTAAAAACTATTTTGTAAAGAATAGGTTAAAATTGCATTTTTTTTATAGATTTGTCTCTCATTTAGAGGATTTTGGCCTTGCCCCCTCTCCTTTTTGTGTATCACTTTCTTTTCAATATATAACCTTATTTAAAAATAAAATAAAATAAAGAGAGAGAAAACAAAAGCAATGTCTCTTAAAAATGTATAATTCAATTTATGTGGATGGTGTGCTTATGCAAATGGGGATCAAGAATAACCCAATACAAAAAATTAAACTAAATATCTAACTAACTTATAAGTAATCTATTCTAAATAGATGTCGAGCTAGCATATACCCAATATAAATATACATGAGATTTTAATACTTAATATCTTATGATGTTTCAAATTTGATCACTTTTGGTAGAAGAAACTGTTCTGCCAATTGTTAGTTGATTCAGTTATAATTGACACTAGAGTTGGTAAAAAGAATTACGATTCGATTATCTACAACTGCGATAGAAGGAAATTAGAATTATTTGATGTCAGAATTGACTCCCAAAACGAATTAGTTGATCTAATGGATTGAATACTGGTGGTGGAAAAAAAACTGCACTAAACAAAGACAAGTACTCAACAAGTACCATCTTTTATTAATCTTTGCAAATGCTACATACTTCAATGTGAAAAAATTATTACACCAAGTATGAAAAACTTGTTGGAGGACAATTGTTTGACCCAACATTTTTGACATTAGTACTTATATACCAATCACTAAGGTATATAAAGGTAACAATGAGCAAAGCAGGAGAATAAGGGTGGGATGCACCATCTTGTGAAGCTGAAAAGAAAGACCCTTCCCACCAACAATACTATTTCAAGCAGCTTGTGAGATAAAGATAAATATCCTTACAATGACCTTTCAGATGCTGATGCTCATACCCAAAAAATCTTATAGTTAGATTTAACAGTATCTACAATATAGTTAAGTTTCAAGTTGGAAGCGAAGTAAAAGCTTGACAGAGTTAAATTTCTTTCCCTTTAAGTCACACAAAGGAACCGATCGAAACCCGCATTTTAGTTCTGATACAGGCAAACATGTCTGTCCAGCAAAATCATCTGTTGTCTTATCTTTATCTTTTACTTCGATACGAAGCAACGCGAGCTCCGGAACAGTTAAACGGAATTCGAACTCTTCGTCCCAAACAGGATACCAGTTGTCCGTTTTTACACTTGTTTTCTTCTTCACACTATCAGCTCCCACTCCAACAATACAAACCTGTCACACAATCAAATTTCAGTGTACATGATCAGCCAAATGAATTACAAAATGTGTGAAGAATTATGCAACTGACCTTTGTGTAAAAGTCTGGTGGAGAGAATCGGTCGAAGTGCGTTCGACTAAAATCTGATCTCCAGCCAACTCCTTTGTATACTTTTACCTATTGTTAAACATGAAAAAGTTAATATATTTATTGAAAGAACTTAATTTCTTGTTAGTAAAGTGATTAATTGTTGTACACTTACTCTTAATATATGCTTCACTGGTAGTGTTTTTTTAGGATCAAAAGCCTCATTATGTGCACTTTCTTGAGTTAGAAATTCGGGTTTTTTCACATAACCACACCCTCCATTTGCTTTGAACATCCCTTGCATCAACCGGAGCGATTTACCATGACCCTGTCATTAGAAAAAGGGTCTTTAATACCTGAAATTTTCATATTCTCAATATTGCTATAAGGTTTTAGAAACAGGCCTGCGATTGCAACGGCCACGATATCATAATTCTAACCTGCATATTGAATGCAACCATCTGAGCTCCATACATCCACCCTAAATGTGGCTTAAAATTTGAGGAATGAACGCGTTCTCCTCTAGGAAAAATTCTGAGAATATTTTTCTGTGTGAACCTAGAAACCATAACAATGTAAGCTTAATTCAGCAGAGTTAATGACTGTTATCATTTGTAGAAATGCTAATCTTTGAGAAAGTTTGATAGGTACCTAATCAGGTCAGGTCCATGAGATTCGGAAGCAGTTTTGAGTTTCTTCTCACTCAAGCTTAGTCTTCTAACTTTACCACCATCAACTTTTAGTCTATCTTTCATAGTACCTTGTGATTTTCCACCATGGATTGTAATCAAATGTTTGTATCCGCGCGGACTTTGCTGGTTTGCTTTGTAATCGCTTGTTTTTATATCTTCTAGCTTCTCTTCATCGCTTACATTCTGCATGCCATGGAACAATGATTCAGATTTCTTTTCTTGAAAAATGAAATTATGGATATATTTATATGATTCACTCACCTTGTCACTAGTTTTCAGTTTAGCCATAGAATCTTGTAATTCCCATAATTCATCTTCAGAAGATTCACTTCCATTTGACACATCATGTCTGGTTTCTTCTGATTGAGGAGATTCCTTTGGTGGTTTAGTTGATATAACTACCATGTTTCTGAGTGAGGCTGGTGAGGGAAATTCTGTTAAATAATCTATCTTGGGACAATAAAGCATTTCGCCAAATATTTCAATAGCCATCTGCATGAATAGAAAAAAAAAAATCAAATGCAATAACACAAACACTTCAGATTGAAGACGTGTGTCTGTTATCCAACACAACAGACATATATTGTAACATTAACTCATTTCTATTTTTTTTTAAATATCATTAATGTCTACGTGTCAGTGTTGCATCAGGTGTGTCTTTTTCATAAGTTAATCGAATAAAGTGCTTACTTGTGCAAATTTAGCTTGAAGTTTTGGTGTTAGGTGATCTTCTAAAGTGAGAATCACTGGAAAATCAGATTTGATAAAAGCATGTTTCTTTATGGATTCCAAACATTTGGTTAGTGCAACTGGAGTGGTAAGAGTCCTGCAAGAATTAAAAGCATAAGATATAGTGTAATTAAGAAAGCAATCATGGAATGGAACATTATGTGGCCTAATAGTAGTAGTAGGTACCTTCCATGAACAACTTTAATACCACCATCTTTAGTAGAAGATGGCCATAAATCAAGTTCAATAACTCGTACACCTTGTTTCAAAGCCTCTATAATCGGCACATCACTGCTCACACTAGTTAATTGATTTCCAGTAAGGTAAGAATTGTGTCCTGTGTACATGAAATAATGTGACAAGGGAGCATTCATATCATGATGTACCTGCAATCACATACACAATTTATTTATTTTTTCTTTATAAAAATGATTTCAAAAATTTAATAATGTATAATTTCATTACTTTATGCAAATAAATAAATTTAAAAATAAATAAATTTCAATTGAATCATTGAATTTTTTTTTAACATTTTACAATTTTACACCTACCTCATCTAAATACACTATTCATTTCATTAATATATATAGTTGGGATAATTAGGTAAATAGAAATAGAAGTAACATAAAGTCAAAATTAAGAAAATACACAACAAAATTTAATAGGAAAAACTATATTTTAGAGTTAGGTGGGAAAATTTATTATTATATTAGTTAAACATACATTGGTTGACCAATTATTTATTATATTTTAAACGATAGTAATTTTAAAACATAACTATTAATAAATAAAAACAAAAAAATCAAGCCACATGGCTCAAATGATTTTTTGTTAAAAGAAAAAAAAAACAAAGTAGAAAGTGCATACCTCATCTTTTAAGGGACCATTGAAATCATCAAGAAGCAAAAAATTGACAAAGTCATCAATACTTAGTCCTTCAACATTTTTAGTTTCAATGCTAGAACTAGAACTTCCAATTTGCAAAACCTTTTCAATGATTGGTTCCAAATCCAATAAGGTGCAGTTTTGTTCTCCTTGATATTCCACCATGAATCCAAGTAGTTTATCCTTTGACATGTGGTTTTCACCATTTGAGAAGTTGAAAAAAGCTTCTATGAGATCCAAAGGTGGTTCTTCCTTGTTCACTTTACCTTTTTTGGTCAACATTTTTGACAACTTTAAGATCTTTGCTTTCATTCTCTCACCTTCCCAACAGAGATCCTTGAATGAGAAAACAAATTTTCAATCTCAGACACGGTTTTGAAAGAAGTTATAGGCAGAAAAATGAAAAAGAAAATTGAAAAGAAATAGTGAGAAAATGATATTGGTTTTGATTGGGTAACACTTATGAAAGTGTTGTTTTGTCTACCAGATCTTGATTGAATAATAGTTTAGACACATATTTAAGCATGCAATCAAAGCCAAAGAAAGAAAAAAAATCATAATTCACACACAAAATTTTTTTTTTTTTTGGGAGTTAGGAATTGTAAAAAAAAGTTTAGCGATGAAGACCTGAATATTAAATGTAAAAAAAAAAGAAAAAGTAGTATTATATAGTTGACGAATATGGGTCAAACAAAAAAGCTTAGTTATGTTAAATTTTTTGGTTACAAACCATAGTTTTATATAAAAAAACAAACATTAACACAATGTATATTTATTTATTGGGTGCTAATGAGCTACACCGGAAGACTCTTTCTTTAAGAATTTTAAATAAATAAAAAAATATTTTTTTTAAATATCAATTATTTAAATTATCAATGCATTAAATATATGTATTTTCAAAAATACAGATTCTCTTCGGTCTAACAGATATAAGTAGTTTTATAAAACAAACTTACTTCTTAAGAAAAACATATAAATATATTTAATTAAGTTGTACACTCGTTTTAACTTTACTCTTAATTTTTCTTTAAAAATTATTAAAAAACATTAAACAATAATAATAATAAAAAATAAGAATATATCTAAATTACAAATATTAAATATAATAATTATTGTTTTGGACTGGGTCGGGGTCTGCCCCTCAATCGGGCAGGCCCAACTCAATACTACACCGAGCACAAGCCTCAACAAGGCACACGTGTCGGGCAGAGGACTTTTTTGATGGACAGATTCACGCGCTTGCCCCACGTTTTCCACGTGTCCCCCACGCGGGGACACATCATCAGACAACTACCCACCTCCGAAAGAGTTGGTCAGCCCACCTTCCGAAGATCACGGGGCAGTTGATCTAGGGCGAAGACCATGTGCTGGTCTTTACTACGCCACGTAAGCTGTGACAGTTACTTGGGTTGGGTCTGCCAGTTTGGCCCAACAAGGTAACCGTTGGCCCTGCGCTATGGGCACACTATAAATACCCTCTTTCACTAGAGGGTCAGGTATCTTATTCTCCACACCTAATCTCGGTACTTGCTCTCTCTCTCTCTCTCTCTCTCTCTCTCTCTCTCTCTCTCTCTCTCTCTCTCTCTCTCTCTCTCTCTCTCTCTCTCTCTCTCTCTCTCTCTCTCTCTCTCTCTCTCTCTCTCTCTTTCAAAACTCCGTTACTCACTTAAGCATCAGAGTGTCTTGCAGATACACCCCCTCCTCCTCTTATACAACTCCGGTGAAGGCAGCAACTTACGACGCGTGGCAAGCCATTGAATCCTTTCCGTTGAAGGCGCCCTCTATGGGGATCTTTTGCTTCCCCGTCCTTTCTCCTATCCTAGCATAGCAGGTCAAGGGCCAAAGCAACTTCCAACTTTCCATCTCGATCATGGCCAACCCACACAATGACAACACCCCTGGATCTTCCTTTACCCCCTTCTCCAACGGGGACGACCGTAATCCTAACGCGACTGTCTACGGAGAAGAAGGTGACCACAGGGACGAACGCGCCGCCTCTCCCTCCTCAGAAGGCGCAACTTTCAACGCCGCACGGCGCTTGGACAACCCGATTGTCTACTAGCCCATCCTAGTCCCAGCTAGCACCGACCCTACCGTCACGGCTATGTTCGCGGTGATCAATCAGACCAATTTGATGATCTTCGGGTAGGACGAGCGAATAGGGATGCTCGAGAGAGAACGACTGTCGCACTCTCCCCCGCAGAGACATCGTCGTCCGGTTTCCACTAGTCTCTCTCCTCTACCACGGAGGCATCGTCGCCAAGTCTCCATCAAGCCTTCTCCTCTACGGAGACACCGTCGCTCAGTTTCTATCAGCCTCTCTCCTCCCACGCGGAGGACGCGATTTGTAGAGGATTCCCGAAGCTCCTCTCCTTTGTCGACGGGCCGCCGCCCTCGTTTGGAACAACCTCAGCAGTTGGTTCCTCACAAACGAGACAAGTCGCCTCCACGGCCTACAAGAAGAGCAAAGCCACAAGAGGCTCCTCCAGACCGAGAGCCCGTCCGAAGAGTCCTCCCCACCGAAACAAGAACCTCCCGAGATCATTCTCCCCCTCGTCGTCGCCCATCCAGAGCGACGAAGACATCCAGAGATCACCGCTATGCAGGGCCATCAGGGAAGCCCCACTGCCCGTCGGGATGGAAAAACCCTCAATCTTGGCAATGTACGATGGCACGACTGGCCCAAACGACCACATCAAAAGCATCGACACAATGCTAGATTACAGGAGTGTTCGGGGAGCCATCAAATGCAGGTTGTTCCCCACTACCCTGAGGAAGGGAGCCATGGTGTGGTACAAACGCCTCGCGTCCGACTCTATCACCTCCTGGGGTGAACTGAAGCGCCAATTCTCCAGGCACTTTACGGCTTCTTGGCGACATTCGAAGACAGAGGCAGCCCTGGAAGCCATTATCTAGGGGAAGAACGATCCTCTCATAGATTACATAGAGGTTCAACCGTGAGGCCGTCCAGGTCTCCACCACAGATGATATGAAGAATTCTTGATCCAGAGGGGATAAGACCATATTCTGACTTTGCCAAAGTCATCGGGATTGCACGTCCCCGCACCTGAAACGCTCTTTTCTACAAAGCTTAATCCTACATTAAGTACGAGGAGATAGAGGCTGCAAACACTGCTCGGGACAGGTGGAACCAGGAAGGCTCCCGAGGCGCAAGGCATGAGGAAGTTCCTCCTCCTCGGCGAAACGAACAAATAAGGCGTGAGGACCGACCCCGCAAGCAAAAAGGGTCAGCGAGCTGGTTCACTGAGTATACGCTGCTCACAGCTCCCCGCGAGCGCATCTTGGTTGAATGCATCAATTCGGAATTCCATAGGGGCGGTGTCCGGTTCCCGAAACCGGCACCCCCAAAGTCCAACATAGACAAATCCAAATACTGTCAGTTCCACCGGAGCCATGGACACATCACGGAGGATTGCATCCACCTCAAATATGCAATCGGAGTTCTAATTAAGGAAGGGCATCTAAAGCAATACACCTGGAGGGGTGAAACCCTCCGACCTGAGACCCGCAAGGCCAAGAAGGTCAAATAAGCATCAATCTCCTTCGACGAAGCGGGACTGCAGGTGGCTCTATGCATCTCATGATCAAAGGATTTCCTCCTCTTTATCGAGCCCGCCAGACCACTGATCGCCCTCAGCCCGTGGGAGGATTTCCCCGCCACACTGGTGATATCCAGCTGGGGGGCCAGCCAACTGTCGGTTGGGTCAATCAAGAGTAAGTTCGAGGAACTCATCAACAAGAGCTTGAAAATGAACACTACTCTTGACAGGTTCAAAGGACATTCAAACCCGATCACCTTTTACCTCAAGGAGCTTCCCGGGGGGAGGGGGCAACTCCAACATCTCCCTCCTGATCAGAGCTTAGATGACGAACTTCGATATCCGCCGAATCCTAGTTGACCAAGGAAGTTCAGCGGACATAATGTATGCCCACCTGTTCACGACTCTGCAGCTTGACGAGAGCCACCTGACCCGATACATGGGCTCCAACCTCCAAGGCTTCAAAAACACCACCACTCAGCCTTGGGGGTACGTAGAGCTGCCCATTGCCTTCGGGGCCGAGGAGACTGCCAGACAGGTGAAAGTCCGCTTTCTAGTAATTGAATGCCCCTCATTGTACCAGTGCATCCTGGGACGAACAACCTTGACCGATCTGGCCATGGTATCGTCGATAGTCCACCTGAAGATAAAGTACTACACGACTAGAGGGCAGGTCGTCACCCTCCACGGAGACATTGAAGCAGCTAGAAGATGCTTTGAGGCGGCGCTCAAAGGCCTTAGTTCCATCATCGTCCACCCCAAGTCGACCAACAAACCAGCCCGGACAGAGGAACAGGGACCGAAGCCCCTCCCACGCATCAAATCTGTTGACCTCGACAGCTGTTTCTACGGCAGGAAGCGACAAGGCAAAGACCCCGAAGACACGCCTCCAGCGGATAACGGGTAGCTCTCCCACCCGACATGCCTCATTCCAGACGGAGACTTTGAGCTCATCACGCTAGGAGATGACCATGAAAGAAGCATGAAGGTTGGCATGAGCATGCCCGAATTGGCGAGGAAACAGCTCAAGGCCTGCCTCCGGGAGAATGCAAACCTCTTTGCGTGGAGTGCTGCCGAAGTGCCCGGGCTCAATCCCGACGTGGCGTGCCACCACCTCTCCATAGATCCGACCGCTAGGGACATAGTTCAATGTAGGCGTAGGCAGTCTCACGAGAAAGAGGAGGCTATTCTTAGTTGTTCTACGATACTCTCATAACCAACCTCGACGGCACCCAAGCAGTCCTGCTCGAGTTACCAGATCTTCGCCACCAGATCAGCCCGGGACACCATAAGTTTTTCTTTGTCAGTCTCATTTTCAGTTGGGAAAACAACAGCCTCTAACTCTGCGACCCGCGCCTCTAGCCTCGACTTCTCCTCCCCGACGACCTTCAACTGCTCCTCAGCCTTACCGTTGTGTTTGCGTTGAGCCACATTGTCCTCTTTGGCTAAGTCGAGCTCAACAGCCAATTTATTCATCTTCGACTTAGCAGCCATAGGATCCTCCTGCATATTGGAAAGGTCGGCAGAAGAGCAACCCTCATCACTGAGAACCAAGGTTGTCGAAAAGACCCGCATCACCGCGGCCAGATCCTCGGTCAGTATCTTTCTCCCCGCTTCCCGACCAGCACACAAAACCGCCTTTGCCTCCGTGGCCCCCACAACCGGAGACTTATCCCCGCGGAAGAAAGCGGGCTGTAGGTGGTAGGGGGAGCAGAAACCCCTCCTCAGCGTCGCCCTCAGTAAGGTCGACGA